ACCACAAAGTAAGTCTAATATGTCTAGTTATATTACTTTTTGTTGCAGGTTGATTATGACGATCCTCAGTATCCCGCATGGTTTCGCGAATTACTTCAAGGTCCAGTTGCAAAGGTCACTACATCATCGATGTATTTCACCCGAGGCTATACTTTTCATACCTATGACTATGGTAGACACCGGGCGACAAGTAATTATGTAATATGTGTGAAAGGCGAAACAGATTTCTACGGGATCTTGCAAGAGATTTATGAAGTTCAATTCTCAGGTATGAGTTTGAAATACGTTATCTTCAAATGTGAGTGGTACGACCCCGTCGTCAACAGAGGTGTTCGGATTAACAAGAATGGTGTAGTTGATGTCAATGGTGGACAAAGGTACAACAAATTCTTTTTTTGACATACGTACATGCATGTTCTGAGAACTAATAATTTCTTGTCTTAATTTTTGCAGGTAGAACAAATTCGAGCCTTTCATATTAGCTTCCTAAGCAGATCAAGTTTGTTTCATTCCATACCCTCGGATTACTACAACGGGAATAAACTGGTTAGTTGTTATCAAAGTGACACCTCGAGGACGGATAATCGAGGGAGAAGAACCACCATTACAAGAAGAAAACACCAATGAAATCGAGGAACCTGAAGCATAAATTGATGACATCCTACTCATTGATCCGCATAATCGTGAATACGAAGATGTCCCTGATCACTCAACGGACGACGGTGTTGAGGACGAGTTTGCCGAAAATGATGATGTTTCTACGGATTATGAGAATGTATCCGAATGAATTATGTATGTTTTATAAGTTTGTTTAATCACAAAAACCCATTTCAATTATGTATGTTTTATAAGTTTGCTTAATAACAAAAAATGATTTGAATTACGTATGTTTTAAGCTTGTTTAATCACAAAAAATGAATTTGAGATTTAGGTGTAGAAGAGGTTAGGAGTTAAGGAAGTTGTGGTTTAGGGTTTGGGGTTTCGAGTTCAGGGATTTACAAACCCTTTCCTCGTAAAGCCCTAGTAAGAGAAAACACGGGTATAGCTGTTTCCTCGTAAGCTCCTAGTAACACCATTACTAGGAATTTTCGAGGAAAAAAACGCGGGCATAGCTATTTCCTCGTAAAGAAGTTTCCTCGTAAAGTCCTAGTAATGGTGTTACTAGGACCTTACGAGGAAATAAAAACACGGGCTTAGTTGTTTCCTCGTAAAGTCCTAGTAATGTTACTAGGGCCTTACAAGGAAACAAAATTCCTTATATATACACGAGCAATCCGATTTCTCATTTATAGTAACCTCCTCTCCAAATTCTCTTAAGGTACTCTCTATTTCCTAGTTAGGTGAATAGATTAGGGAATTTAGATTAGGTGGTTAGATTAGGGAATTTAGATTAGGTGGTTAGTTTAGGGAATTTAGATTAGGTGGTTAGTTTAGGGAATTTAGATTAGGTTGGTTTAACTGTTTTTTAAAATTATACGAGAATTAATGTTTTGTGTTTTAAAAAAAAAAAAAATTTAGATGGTTAGAAAGAGCAAAGTTGCTGCTGCTCAGGCTAGGAGGCCTCTTGATAAGGGAATTCACTATGGAGATCTATTCGGGCCTGGTTCATCTTCGTCAGCTCCCGGTGGTTCATCTTCGATTCCGGATCATCACGCTGTTCCCGAGACTCAGGGAGTTTCTATGGCGTCCCGGTCTCATCAGCCACCTCCTCCTCCTCCTCCTCCTCCTCCTCCTCCACCGGTCGGGATTCATCCTGATTTGCAGGTGCCGCCGAACGCACCATTTGCGGTGTACACGGTGGAGGATATTTTGGCCCTTCCAGGGAGAGAAGGGCTGCCAGAGTTAGATCCTATCCGACGGGGCGGCCAAAACGTATTATGGTATGTTTTAATTTTTTAAAAGTTTTTTTAATTTATTTCTTAATTAACAAAATATTTACAAATTAATTAATCTAATTAATGATTTATTTTCTGTCTTTCCAGGTTTGGTCTTGACAATTGTGTCGGATCTAGCGTCACAGACTGTATCAAGGGATACTTTCCCGATGCAGCTCCAAACTGGAAGATAACGGCAAGCCACACAAAAAAGACGTGGTTCAAATTGTTCGCTGTAAGTTTAGTAAATCAACTTAATTTATTTTTAATCATTTAAAATTATTAATTTTATTGAACTAATCCGTCTCTTATTTTTTCTGGTTACAGCAAAAATATCGTTGGTCTATTGGGATTCACCAGCGGGTGAAGACGGAGTTCGAGGCCAAGGCAAGAGCATGATTGCTCGACATGGTCTACAACTGGAAGGGCGACTTTCAGGTAAAGCTTTATAAATTATAATATATGTATAGTTTTAAAAATGTTATTGACTTTAATTCTAATTATTTTAAATCAGGTGGATGGTTACGAGCGCGGGAAACCCGATTGCCTCACAACCACGGTGTGGGATGGCCTCATCAGCTATTGGGGGTTGCCGGACTCGGTCAGAACCTCCCAGACAAACTCTGAGAACCGCATGACCACAGACGAGTATGGCAACACGAATATGCTTCACACCACGGGCCGAAAACCTCACGGGGGAGTTCGTCTAGACATGGTAAGATGATTTTTAATAACTATTTCATTTTTACTCTATTTGAATATTCCAAATTAATATTTAATTTTAAAAAAAAATTTAGGCTAAAGAGACAGGAGTTCTTCCATCTCTGAAAAACCTTTACGAGCGGACCCACCGGAAAAAGGGTGGGCAGTTTGTAGATCCTGCTTCCGAGCGGATCTACAACGAGGTTGTTGCCCGAGTTGACGAACGCCAGACCCAGCTAACTCAGCAGCCTGGGGCTCCAGTCGTATTATCCACTCTTGAAATGGATAAGATTTACGAGGAGGTAAATAATTTGTTTTAATATTATTTTTTATTATTTATTTAAAATTTTCCTTACGTTATTATTATTTTTATTTACAGGTCGTCCCTAGGAAAAATGGCCGTATTGTCGGGATTGGTTCGGTTAACGATGTCCCCGCAGTGACATCGTCTTATGTTCAGCGACAGGACGATGCCAATGCTCAGCTGCGGACGGAGTTGCAGGCGACGCAGTCTCATGTGAGTACGCTCACCGAGATCGTCGACATTATCGTGGTTGGAAACCCGCAAGTGGCGGAGATGTTGCGTCAGAGACGGGAAAGCGGAGCCCTTCCACCCCAACAGCCTCCACCCTCACATTCACAGCCGGCAGCCAACATTGGAGAGGACGACTTCGTGCAGCAATTTCACGAGCAGCATCCCTATTAGTTTTTTTAATTTTTAATGGTATATTAAGAATTTTAAAACTTATTAATTGTATATTATTTAGTTATTTTTAAATATTTAGTTATTTATTTTTTATTTATAATTTGATTTTTTTAATTTTTTTGATATATATAATTTTTAATTTATAAATAAATTTTTTTAAATAGGAAAAAATTTATTTCGATGCAAAATCCTCGTAAAGCTTTCGAAGTTAAGTCCTCGTAAATGTTTCTAGTAAGTTCCTCGTAAAGATTGTACTACGAGCTTACGAGGAAATAATTTACTATGACATTACGAGGAAATACTACGAGGACCTTACGAGGAAAACTTATCCACGCGTTTACGAGGAAATGTTTCCTTGTAAATTAGCTAGGAACTTACGAGGAAATAATGCTTTACGATGAACGTGTTTCGACGAAACGCGTTTCCTCGTAAGTTCCTAGTAAATGTTCATTTACTAGGAAATAACGAGGAAAACTCGTCCTAGTAAAAGACGAGTTTTCTTGTAGTGTATCAAGTTATTTCCTCTGAAAATATCATTTCGTTAATGCAAGATAAGTTGATTGGTTTCACCTGAGCATTCATGGACGGGAAGACATTCTAGAACCTAAATGTTTCATCTCTTGCTCCGGTTACAACCGTTTGTCCATCAGGTGAGACCGCAACATTCATAACTCGGTATGTGTGACATGTTAGAGTTGCACTCCGAACCACAAAAAAAGACACAAACGTTCAGCTAACTACATCTACTTATTGATGCAAATTAAAGTAATATACAGAGTCAAAGGTCAGAGAAATTTATTACTTTGGAAAATCTTGAGTTAAAAAAATTACTTCTTAGATCATTTTAAAGAATAGGTATTTTGTTTGTGTACCTTGATTTTGCGACTGACTTTTTTTTTGCTCTTTTTGTTCATGTGTTCTAGAAAGCTTCACATTCTGATCCTTTCAAGTACAATTAACAACAAACCTATCGAACTGAGCAAGATCAGGGTTCTGAATGACAACATCATATTGCTGTGAAAGCGACCACTCCATAGAGCTCGAGTTCGCTTGGCTTATGCTCTTCTGCATTTCCTGGCTCTGGCTGGTTGCTGTCGTTGTCATGTAAACGATGTTCTTGATGTCTAAAATACCTACAGAGAGA